GCCTGCAGGGACAGTAACGGTTGTGTTTCCTCGGGACAAGGGGCAGCGCTGTACAGAGCTGTGAAGTTGTACCCGACGTAGTTTTATTTAGGAATAAACATGTTTTCACTACGCGTTTAACCCCATACATCCCAGATTCCCAACAGGGGCTGCGAATCAGGCTCCCCCGGGTGCACTTTAATTTTATCAATAGCGTGCGTGCAGGGTCTGGGCGTCAGTCTTTTTTAAGCGCTGATACCAGCACCTCTCAGAATGGAGCTCAGGCAACGCCATTGTTAAAAGCTCCCCAGATAATTCTGATATGCCGTCCAAGTTAAGAATAACTGCTATACATATATAAAAAAGAAATGTGTTGTTGGTATCTGTCTGCCCTCAAATAACAACGTCTCGCTAGAGGAAATTTAGGCTTGGAGATTGAAGAATAAAAAAAAGAAGGAAGTTTCCAGGTGCAGGGGGTCCTGGGGTGGAGGGAGGGGGTCCACCTGTAGGGCGTTGGTGGAATTCAGTGGTTCCTAACTGCACTCAGGGCACAAGCTTCCCCGAGAACCTGAAGAAATCGCTTTCTCCAAAACAATGCGCGTATATGCAAACTTTGCAGATTTTAAGGTTAACACAGTCTTCCTAAAACTCGAGTTAGGCCACGTGACGTGCTCGTAGACTTTTGAAACCACCATCACCGGGGCAGAGCAGCAGGTTAAAATAAGCAGCCGTCAGAATCGAGGAACCGAAGGCTGAGTCTTGATTTTGCCCCTGAAGCACTACATATGGTCTGCACAGATCGCTGACGCGTGCCAGGCCTTGGTCTTTCTCTAAAGTGAAATGTTTCTCTGCCCATACAGCAGTGTAGCTAATATTTTTTACAGTTTTATTTTTGAAAAGTCAACCGAGGGTCCCGGCCGGGTAGCTCAGTTGGTTAGAGGGTCCTCCCGATACGCCAAGGTTGTGGGTTCAGTCCCTGGTCAGGGCGCATACAAGAAGCAACCAATGAATGCATCAGCAAGTGGAACAACAAATCGACCTCTCTCCCCACCCTTCTTCTCTCTCTCTCTCTCTCTCTCTCTCAAGTCAATCAATACGTTTTTTAAAAGCGAATTGAGAGTAAATGAATATAGGCGAAAGTGCTTTGAAATGTATGATTGATTATTAGAATGACTCTCACAGAAACCCACCATTTCTCGGGTCAGCGGCAGGCATCCGCAGCGCCCCCCCTCCCTGCACCCCTGCACCTGCCTCACGGGCCAACCGGAGGTGACGCAGCATTCCCCCACGTCTGAGCCTGGCAGCCTCTACCAGCGGGACCACAGCCCAGCCCCCGCCACCCTGTTAGCCCACCCCTCTCGCCCCCAGGGTGACCCTTTGCCCGCAGAATTCACTCGGAAGTCCTTTCTGTCACACTGCCAGCAAACCTGTTCTTACGACTTGAAAAAACTCAGCATGAATTAAAATTTGAAGGAGTTCCAGAGGACACGAGAACTATGGGCCAGAATGTGTTCTTCTTCCCAGGAGCCCTGAAGGGTTCACTCCTTTCCCCTCCCCCTTCTACGCGCTCCCACGAGACCAGAGGCCTCAGGGACTCCCGCTGCGGAGAGGGTGCCACCTAGAAGAGCAGCCTTCTCATCGCCCAAAGGAACGCCGTATCTGCAGTACCTCTGGGCCCAAGAGATTAAATCCAGGATTAAGAACAAAATTCGCCTGTCGCAGCCAGAGCTCTGGAGTTCAGGCCGATTGTTCACCCAGACTGCAGCAAAGTGTAAACCATAGGCGCAGGCTTTATGTGCGGAAAGCCAGCAGGGGTCCCCCGAAGGAGAGACACCAGCCAGGGCCTGTGTGTTTGGGGGTGTCAGTGTTTCCCGTTCATTGAATTGTCTGAGTCTCAATGCAAAGAAATAAAACATGCACGGAGGGGCCCGTACAGGTGACGCGGTTCGATCTCTGTCTTCCACCCCCCAGAAAAGAGTGTAGCAAACAAAGGGCAGCGTCACGCAGCTCAGGCTCCTCTCTGTTTGCTCAGAGAGAAAAATGCTCTCTGTGCAGAAACGGCAAGTCGGAGGAGACGCCAGGCCTCCAAAGGCAGCCAGCGTCAGACAGGACAGCCAGGAATGAGTGCCCTGCCGATGGCCGGGCCGTGACCGGGGGGACCTGAGCTCTCGCCTCTCCTCACGAGTGGGCTTTGGAGCTGCTCGTGGTGCCCACAGAGCCCACCTCAGAGCTCCGGTTCTCCGATGTAAAGTTCCGTCTCCTCTTTCATGGCAGGTGGCTTCCACTGCCCGGTTATTCTCTCCACGAACCCCGGCCGGCGCTCCCCATGGAGGAAGCACTGGAGGAGAAGGGCATATGAGCGTACTTACGAGAGTTTTGTTACACGCAAAGAGGAATGGGCCATGTAAAGGCCTAGGCGTGGGTCCCCCCTCCAAATCAAGGAGCCCCGTCTGGACTGCCTGCCGGAGCCCTCTTCCTATCCACTTCGAAGTGGCTCTCCCACCCCCAGCAACCAGGAGGGGAAACCTGGACTTCGGTGGCATTGCTCCAGCCGCCCTTCCCTCCCTGACCACAGAGGGGGGCCGTGCTGGAAGCGTGTGTGTGTGTGTGTGTGTGTGCATGTGTGCGTGCATCCTCCCCAAACGAGAATGCTCATCTGACCTGCAGATGGTTGGAGAATTTGCTATTTTAAGTAATCCTAAGTTCTGGTCAATAGAAAATTGCCACTTACATGAATCACCAGGTCGTGAGCAAGTATGACAAAAAGCTCACAAGGTGGCGATTCCCTTTGCGTTAATCAGGAACATGCGCACCGCCGGGTTTAATAGCAAAATAATATACCTGTTCTCGGACAGCTGATGTTTTGTTTCCCTGTATCACGATTACTAGTCATGGCTGTGACAAATCACATGGGAAAAGCAATCAACAGTTCAAGCCACACAAAATTAGAATTAACTGAGTCCCTGTGTGCCCCTGGCAGAAGCTCCTAATCGCATCATTATTAATTATGCAGCCAACAGCCAAAATGCTTTTTAGCCTCTTTGGGGTTAAGAAGATCTATTACCTATTAAAGTCCAGCATCTGTAAACCCAGGGAAATAGAACAAAATCAGGAAAACAATGAAGTTAATGTAGTCAACTTGAGCAATCTTGCAGAGAGAGCTACTCTAGTTGGGAGAACACCTGCTTTGGACTGGGCACTGTCCTGGGTGTCTGCCTATTTGATCCATTTTAGCCTCACCACATCCAGGGAGACACGCGTGGGCTGCCCTCACTCAGTAGACAGGCGCTGAGGCCTCTGGGGACCATGTTACAGTCCGGGAGCAAAGGACCAGGGCGGAGACTCAGATCCAGGTCTGCGTCCCTGCAAAGCGTCCGATCCAATCAATGAACAGCGACGCTGTGAAACAGGGAGCTTGTAGCGGAGCACAGGAAACACCACCAGCAGGTCTAGTTTCCAACACTTGGAAAACAACACATGCTTCTCGGAAACCGTGTCTTAGCTCTTACGATCAGAAGTTTCCCGAAGGCCACCCCCACCCCTATGAGCGCTGCAGATGCCTTCACAGTGGCCGAGACATGGTAGCAGCCCGGGTGCCCATCAACAAGCCCATCAACAAGCCCATCAATACTACACCATGGAACATGACTCGGCCACAAAAAAAAGAATGAAATGTTATCATTTGCAACAGCATGGATGGACCTAGAGGGTACTATGCTAAGTGAAATAAGTCAGACAGAGAAAAGACAAACACTGTATGATTTCACTTATACGTGGATTCGAGAGAACAATATAAATGAACAAACAAAATGGAAACAGACTCATAGACACAGAGAACAGAGTGGTGGTTGCCCTAGGGGAGAGGGATTGGGGGGCTGGCTGGAAGAGGTGACGGGGTCAGGAACTGTCCATCAGATACTGCATAATGTGGACAGATTTCCATATGCCCGTAAATAGAAGAAACGACTCAAAATGTGGATCTCTGGCCAGTAGGAGTGCATATTTTTCTTAACTCATTATTACCTTTTTGTATTTTTTTCAAACTTTCTAAAAAGAAAATACGTTTATAATGCTATAAAGTGTGTGCATGGTGGGTGCGTGCGTGTCTCTCTCAAGTGGACAGCATCGTGGTGAGAAAAGACGGACTCGGTGTGCGGCACGGCTGTTCCCTGGGCTTCCAGGCAGCGGCCTAGCGCGGGGCTGCCCGCGGGGGCGGAGCACAGGGAGCGTCACGCCCCCTTGTGGTTGGAGGAGTCCCTGCGAGGAGCGCCGGGGAAAAGGGGCCATTTGCAGTGGAAAACGAGGGGCAGTTACTGGTCTGATCGCTGTGTACTTTGGATCTGGATTTGCCACACCTCTCTTTATCGTGAGACACTAACTGCTTAAGAAATAAGGACGTTTTAGCCAATCTGTAGAACAGATGGGAAAAGGAGAGTTTTAAGAGGTGCAATCTCTTTGAAAAATGGATCAGACCGCTGAACTCAGCATACTAGACATAAAAAGCTTACAGCTTGAAAATAAGATACACGGCATCATATTGTTAATGGTGATTCTCTCTGGGTGGTGGCATCCTTGTTCATTTTTATTTCTGTTTGTTTCTCTCTGTGTATTTTCTTCCATTAAATCAGTACACTGTTATGATCAGAAGAACATAGCCTGGAAAGTTAAAGCTAGATTTATTGTACTTCTTTATAAGTAAAGGCTTATAGACAAGGCAATTAAACATACAAGTATAAAGAATAATATATTACATGTAGTTAATATATATTATTTATTTATGTTAGAATACAATGTGACAACTACATATGATAGTATATATAATATAATACGGCATCACTATAAGGTAACTAATATCCGTAAGGAACTTCAAGAGAAATTTAGATTTCCTTTGGAAGTGTATGCCAGGCTTTCGGACAATGTTGATGTAAAGTCCTTCGCACGGCCACCGCTATGTGGCGTTGCTCTTGCCTTCGCCTATTCGCTTCCTTCATGGTCACGTTTCCCCTTCTGTCCAATCCCAGGTATCTCCATGCCAATACCCGTCTTTGGCCTTCAGGACGATTCCAAGGTCTTTAAAGAAGGGAGCTGCCTCCTCGCCGACGATAACTTTGTCCTGATCGGCTCCTTCGTCTCATTTTTCATCCCCTTAACCATCATGGTAATCACCTACTTTCTAACGATCAGGTCGCTGCAGAAAGAAGCCACTCTGTGCTTGAGTGACCCCGGCGCACGGGCCAAGCTGCCTTCGTTCAGCTTCCTGCCGCAGAGCTCGCTGTCGTCGGAGAAGCTCTTCCAGCGGTCCACGCAGCGGGAGCCGGGGGCCCACGGCCGGAGGACGATGCAGTCCATCAGCAACGAGCAGAAGGCCTGCAAGGTGCTGGGCATCGTCTTCTTCCTCTTCGTGGTCATGTGGTGCCCCTTCTTCATCACCAACATCATGGCCGTCATCTGCAAGGAGTCGTGCAACGAGCGCGTCATCGCCGCCCTGCTCAACGTGTTCGTGTGGATCGGGTACCTGTCCTCGGCGGTGAACCCGCTGGTGTACACGCTGTTCAACAAGACCTACCGCTCGGCCTTCTCGCGCTACATCCAGTGCCAGTACAAGGAAAACAAAAAACCCTTGCAGCTGATTTTGGTGAACACGATCCCGGCCTTGGCCTACAAGTCTAGTCAGCTCCAAAGGGGGCGGAAAAACAGCTCCAAGAAAGACGCCAAGACCACCGAGAATGACTGCACCACCATGGTCCCTCTGGGAAAGCAGAACTCCGACGCTGCCCCCACGGACGGTGCCGGCACAGCGAACGAGAAGGTGAGCTGTGTGTGACCGACCCGTTGCCGTGGCAACCGTGGAGGGCACTCCGAACGGATTTCCACCTACCAGGGGAAGAAGAGAAGGAAAGATTACAGGGAGACTGAAAAAAAAAAAAACTGAGGCAGGTTTCTCGTGAAACTGGCAGTCATATCCGGATGCCTGGTTGTCTTCTGTGCGTGGAAAGCAGGGCCCAGTGCTGGAAACCGTGCACTTCAAAAATGTTCCGACAGCGTGTCGACTGTGAGCTTTATGACACTTCTTTTTAACATTGTAAATGATATGTCTTTAAAAATAATTAGCTTTTGTTGTATGATTATAACGAGGCCACACATAAGTCTAAAACAACTTCTATTTTCCAGCCGAAGCCTGGCTATTATTATGTTGTTAATGGATGGCAATGAGTGGGTCACCCACCGCTGTACATAAAAATAGCTAGCAATAGTGAAAAGTCGGTGAATGCAATGGCCTCTTAAAGAACAATGCTCTTTACACATTTACCATGGTATGCATTTAGAACAACAACAAAAATAGCTCTCTAAGAACAGTGTTATAAAGTCGGTCTTGCTGAGATAATTGAGTTAATACTTGACAGCTTTTCCCATTCCGGCCTTTTCCTGGAGGCCACTTCGAGACATTCGCAAAGCCGCTGGCCTCCGCTGCCTTTCAGGTCCACGCTTCTCAGAAGCGGGAAAGATTTTAACGGTTGTTTCAGAACCATCGCTGCTTTCTCTCCTGCTACCTGTGCTTTTACTCTCAAGTTCAAAGGCGGTCTTGTTTACTGTTTGCCCTAGTAGCTACCCTATCGAAGGGATAATTTCGCATCGCCAAATACATTTCTAGAAACTGCTTCTCCTACACAGCACCACAGAGGCGCCGGGTACCTTGCCCTTGACGACGGCATCGTGCGGGCGCTCCTTGGGCATCGAGGTCCCTGTGCCGGCACCGAGGAGTAAACTCAGGGTTTGGGCTACTGACAGCAATAGAGTCTTAGAGCATCTCTGAACTGCAGGTGACGTTCCTGTGGGCACCCGCCAATCAGGTAAACCGATGCTTTCGGAATAGCCAGTCTGGGTTATTTCCTGTTGGCTTTGGGTTCCCAGTGCTCCACGGGGTGTACACGGTCTACAAGGACAAGTCCTAGGTGCTCAGGATATACGAATACTTAAAGTAAGATCTTTGCCCTTAAAGAAAAGGACCTAACTGGAATGGTCCTTGGCAAAGATAAACACAGACATGGTGTGAGAATCAGTTCAAGTTATTTCCCTCTGACCTGGTTCAGAGAGCGGTGTGTTTCTAGAGATGAGGGTGGTTTTTCTCAGTGTGTTTCCTGGTTCATCGCCAGCGAGTATCAACCAAACACAGGAGAGGGAAAATATCGCTTGAAGTCAAAGTTTGCAATTAGTTCAGAAATACACACCTCACCCTGGGCCCAACCTGTGACGACCAAAGTTTTGAGGAAACTTTTTGCTCCACTTCCCCAAAAACTAACTCATTTAGTGCCCACGAACACTGGACTCCCTGATTAAAAAAAAAAAAAGCGATATCATGTTTTCTGTTGAATGAGAAATAGTTTTTTACTCTACACCACTTGAAAAAATCAAAAAACTAAAAACTAAGAAACACGGGAGGTGCCCCTGGGTAACGTGGAAATGCGTGAGGGTTACACTAATTGTGCCCTTACAGAGTCACTGACAAGTGTTTATTGCAACACTGGAATTTAGGGCGAGCCCCTCGTATTGAGGCTGCATCTGGTCTGAATTACTTTAATGATTACACCCGACTAACTGATAAAGACACAAGTGTTAAAAAGTCTCTGCTCTCATGTATTTGGGCCTTAGTTTATAACTCTGCACATCTCATTATATAATAAAGAAAAGACTACAGATTCCACCCATGTGCTCCATCTTGATCAGAATGAACATAAAATACTGCCTGACAGGTGTCTTTTGACGACACATATATTACAAATGTGTATGTTTTTCTCTCCATAAGTAACTATTCCAGTGTATAATGTAGGCAAACACGTCTCTGTATACATGTACAGACATGTTCCCATGCACTTTATTCGATATTTACATATTTATACGGAGGAGAAGAGTCATTAACGAGAACACCCAGTATGTACTACGCATGTCTGTGTCCCGTTGATATCAATGTGAATTCATGTCCTAACTAATGTTTCTATGACCTTCCACTGCGGGTTAAAATGTAACAAGTATCAGTTCTTTCAATAAACTGGAAGTTGACCTAAGTTTGTGGGAAGGCTGTAACACCATTCTATGGGGGTTGTGAAAACAACGATCCTTAGACATAGTTGATGGATTTTTAGTAAAATGGTCACCCTTGGGCCCGTTGTTTAGTCTGGAAGACTTTCTGACTTAGATCCATCCCTCGCCCTGCCGAAGCACCAACCACCCTTGAATGATTTATGGATCTCTGATTAAAGAGCTCAGCCCTAGTCAATACTATTAAGATGGAGTAACCAACCTGAGTCTACTAAGTTGCATAGGAGATTCCTCTTTATTTAAAGAAAGAAAAATGCCATCATTAGGAAAATCTGGTTCAAGCATACTTAATCTCTAGTCTACAGCGCCATCTCCTGGTCACTTTGTACAGCGCTACTGTAGCCCAATGGAACGAAGTTACTGGAGCGCTTTTGGCAAAGAGCGCTTCTCCCATTTGTGCATCAGTGAAGCCTATTTATTAAGTGTTAAATTATTCTGTGCCATATGTAACAAAAAGTCAAGATTATTTTATGTAATGATTTTAACCAAGTCTATTCTAAAAGATTTTAAGAAAGAAAGACTACTTGTAAATAAAGTCTACTCAAAAATAAGCGCAATTCTGAGTCCATAGCTGTGTCTACTAAAGAGCGATGCTCAGAACGTCCCCCAGACTGGAAACTCCCGGCATCACTGAGATCCTCTGAGAGCACGACGCCTGTGTTCCCGGATCCCGGTCACAGAGCGAGGACCCGCCTGGCCGGGTGAGATTCACGGCCGTGACCTGCTTTCCAGTTCTCTCCAGCAGACGCGTGCTCCACGTTTGATCACCAGGTCTGGCTCCCCACAGCCTAGAAACGCAGTCAGCCAGCTGCTGCTACACCCCCGACACATACACACAGGTGCCTGTGGACACATTGTACAGGTCTGCCCCAAGGCATGTGCAGTGCATTCACACACACACACACACACACACACACGTTTACAGGAGCTGGTTTCAGAATTAAAGTAAGTCAAGGAGACACGGCGTCATTGGGTAAGCTGAAAAGTTGCCCCGATGCGTCATTTCACCTTTAACTGGAGGAAAAGTCTGTGAAATAGGAACGGTGGGTATCTTCTCCAGGTGTTTGTTGTTCTGCGTGTTGGGTACTCGCCGTGTCCAGGCATTCAGCTGATTGCTTTGCCTGTTTCACCTGAAGGAACCCTCGCACCGTAGATGGAGAACCGGAGCCCCAGCGTGGTGAGTACCAGGCCCAAGGGCACGGAGCCCGCAAGAAAAGCGGCAAGCTCCAGCCTGCGTCATCGGACTCGGAAGCATGCACCCCCTCCCCTGCTCAGCCCAGGGACGGGGGAAGAGCCCTGGGTTCAGACCAGAAGGTGCAAGTCCCCATCTCAGCTTCCCTACTCACTGGCCATATAAACGTAGACACGTCCCTTAGTTGCTCCCTGCCTCAACGTTACTGTCTCTAACATGGAGCTGCTAGCCTGGCTGGTGTGGCTCGGCGGGTGGAGCACTGACCTGCGAACCAAAGGGCCGCCAGTTCGATTCCCAGTCAGGGCACATGCCTGGGTTGCGGGCCAGGTCCCCAGTAGGGGGTGTACAAGAGGCAACCTCACACTGATCCCCCCCACTCTAAAAATAAATTTTAAAAAATAAAATAAATAAAATGGAGCTGCTGGAACCTGTCCTGGCTGACCGTCACTTCTGTGAGGTCATGGCTATGGCTGCACTGGTGACCCGTGAAACACTCTGTAAATGTCACGAGTGTGTTGTTGTTGAAAAGGAAAATCCCAAAGCATCTATGTACCGTTAGCCACCAGAGCGAATTCCAGACAAAATTATGAGACAGGCAATAGGACCATTATGAACAGCTTCTGCTATTCCCTCTGTGGATGCCTCTCATGTTTAAAACCTTTGTGCCTCTGCTGTGTCCTCACCACGGGCAGATGTTTCTTTGTTGGCACTTTTTCCCGCTGCTCCCATCAGAGCCCCCTGGTCCGATGTTCCGTCCCCCCGGGCTCCTCCTCTCTGCTACAGCGCCAGTAAGGAACTCGAGCTGACGGGCTGCTGTCTGTCTCCAAGACCCCTGGGGCCGCCCAGCACAATGACACTCCGAAAGGCAAAACCCAGAGGCTAACACTTCAAGCACCCAGGAGACGAGTGAGGACAACATCTGGGCCCGAGAAATGTTCTCCTGGTATCGCCCAAATAAGCCACAGAAACACAAGTACTTTCAGACGCTGCGCAGTCTAAATAAAGTGTTAGAACTTGACATTGAATTTTAATGTACAATAACAGTGCTTTTGAAAGAAACATCCTTGGCTTTGAAGATTTTATTCTAAACTGAGAACACTAGTAATATGACTAAGCTCTTTCTCAAGTTGTATAGTCAATACGCAATAAGACGAAACTTCGTTGTTAGTTTTTTATTATTTTTGCAGGTGCCTTGCAGAAACAAAGTTTCCCCGTCTTCCCTTAGTGGTGTACACACCAGTCCTGGCTCTGTTCTTCCTTTTTGACCTTGAACACCAGCATGTCCACCTGAGCCGACACGTTGTGGGAAGTTTTCACACCCAGGCGGAACCTCGGGGTCTGCTGTGGCCCATTCGCCAGGCCAGGAGACTGAGGCCGGAAACCCGGGTCCGTCTGCTGCCACTGCCTCAGCTGGGCAAACCAAAGCCTCCTCCCCCTCGAGCGTATAATAAAGGATGACCTTTAGCCAATGACCTTTACAGGGAGTCTCTTCCAGGTCTCTGCTTCTCTGAATACTAAGGAACCCAGTCAGGCTTTTGATAAACCAAGGAACAGGTTCATGTGGTAAGAATATTCTGGAACTCATAGCTCTCACCTTCTCTTAAATTCTTTAGATGAATTTCAAATAAATGACAGCTTGAACTTTTATATGGGGCACATAGGAGAAAAATAAAACTGTCCATGACCTAAGGAGTTCCTAAGATGCGAGGCCAAGAGTCAGACACCAGCGTAAGGAATTCCCCCTGAAGCATTCCTCTCATGGCGGCCGCCCTTCTGCACAGCGGAGCTGCCAGAGAGATCGGCTGCTTTTCTGACCCGCCCCCGGGCTCTCTGAAGAACAGGTGCTCTCACCATTATGTGAGTTCAAGTCCCATGAAGGGTTAAAATGTAAAAAACCCAACCAGATTTAGAATTCATGATGCAGAGAAGATCTCCTTTCTTAAAGCTAGATATTTGTTGAAAATGAGCCGAGGTCACTTAAGTTTTTATTTACACTTAGGATTATGAGCTCTTAAAACAGCCTTTATTCCGGCTTCTGGAGGCAGCACACTTTGTGCTTCCCGCCCTGCGTTATTGCAGATGTTGACGGGTACCTGTTACCCAGATGACCTGGTCGTAGCCGGGGCGACCCCACGGGCGGAGCCGAGACCTACACCTGGGTCCAGGTTGTTTCTGTGCAAACTGATTCCGGGAAGCAGAAAGAATTAGGGGAGAAGCTGAAGCCTATTTAAGGGAAGGCATCCACGGCACCCCCGACAATTAGGACTCGTTTACGCTGGTACTGGGAGGTGACTTGGAACTCTTCACCCCACTGGCAGCTAAAACCAAGGTTGGGCCACACACACCTGGTCGAGATCTTGCACGAACATTTCACCCAGCTGGTGATTCATTGAGGCCTCAAAAATCGATACGCCCCTCCTCAACAGAAAGTGGAATTAGTGTGGTTGGTAACAATGTTTAAACAAACCAACATGTGTATTGTACAGTCACATTAGACTCATTCCTGAGACCCTAGGACCGGCACACACATGCCACGTGGAATCAAACTCGGGGGCATTCCAGCATTGAACCTCATTTCCAACTGGAAAAGCCTGCCGCAGAGAACCCCTTCCAGCCCCCAAGGGAGTCAGAGCAGCCAGGGCCATCCTGCTGACGCCGCCGAGGACCTAAAACAGCAGCCGGCGGTCCTAACACAGAGATGATGGATTCTGTGGACGAATGCTACTCGCTGAGCCCGGTCCCCTCGACGCATTTGACTTATTTAGCCCAGGGGAGAGATCTAAGCCACTGAAACGGAGCGAACAAAAAGAAACATAGTAAATTTAATTGAGAGAGGAGTTTGGACACCACACCATCTGGGCTCCTCCCTCACCAGAAGTGGGGATGACGAGCTGGGAGATTCAGGGAAATGACCCACGATCACCCGCCAGCAGCACCAGAGCCAGCCGGGGGGCTCAGGCCTTACGCCGCACCCCCCACCCCTGCAAATCTGAACTTCTCTCCTTTTATACCAAAAAGGAATCGAAAACGGGCCCACTGGTTTATGGTTCCGATAATTATCTGGTCACATAGCCAAAAATATATTTGCACCAGGTGGAGACCCGTGTAGCAAACTCGTTTACCCTCTCGGCCGGTTTGCTCGTGAGGGTGTGTGACCCAGAGACAGGAAGGAAGGGCAGTCTGGCGGTGGGATTGCTTTTTTAAAAGGAAGGTGTTTGCTGGAGGAATTATCCAGGCCTCTGCATAAAATCAGCCCTGGCTGGCGTAGCTCCATGGATTGAGCGCGGGCTTTGAACCAAAGTATCGCAGGTTCGATTCCCAGTCAGGGCACATGCCTGGGTTGCGGGCCATGACCCCCAGCAACCACACGTTGATGTTTCTCTCTCTCTGTCTCTCTTTCTCCCTCCCTTCCCTCTCTAAAAATAAATAAATAAAAAATCTAAAAAAAAGTACGTTTGTTTTGTCGAACCCGCTGGCTTCGTCAGGAGCTAGCGGAGGTAACTGCGGATAGCTCCCCCCGCCCACTCCAGGGCGCCCCCCAGAGGGACTGCGAGGGGGAGCTGTCCCCGAGGCAGAGCCGCCGCCGACGCTGGCGGCCCAGCTGCTCCAGGCCTCAGTGAGAAGAAGCGCACGCACGGGGGCGACGGGCACAAGTGTTACGCACGTATAATTTGGCGATTCGTTTTAGGGGGGAAAACTGAGCGTGAGGATGTTCAACATCACTCCCTCCAGGCTCCACTGTTAAAGCTGTACAGTCTGCGGCCCAGGGCTCTCCACGGGGATAGATGTAAAAAGGATATCCAGAAGATGGAAATTAAGTCCACGTAAACAAGCAGGCCAAAAAGAATCTTTTAAAAAGAGGAGAAGCAAGGAAATTAAATAGACATAAAATAATATTTAAACTAAAACAAACTCACGCAGCCTGCACACATTTAATCATTGTCTCTACGTATGAATTGTTTAAAAATAAGATGGCGGTTTTTTTCCCCTGAATTCCCCCCCCCCCCCAACACACACACACAGGAAACGTTAGTTACTCGTGAGTGATTGATCACGAAGAATTTGAGGCAACGGAGCGTCTCCAGGACTGGAGAGCAAGAAGCGTGGGGACGGCCCGGAACGCCGCCCCGTACTCATCCACGAACACAGTCAGCGCGCTACTCGCCTCTGATCGGCCCGCCCCTGCGCTCGTCCGCGGGAGAGTGGGGGAGCGCTGGCTCACGCGTGGGCCTTTCCCCGCCCACCAGATGGACCTGACCGAGTCCGGAAACCCACGAGGACCCTCGAAACAATTAAATGTTGAGGTAGATCCTTGAACGGGCTTGGCCTAGTATTGAACACGTGGTGGCTATTACCATTACCAGCTACACTAAAGAGCGAAGAAGCAGCTCTGCTTGTTGGGAGGACCTGCCTGCCTGCGTCCCCCAGAAATGGGGACGGAAATGAAGGCACAAGGACCTCTAGAGCGAACAAACCATATAAAGTCCACAGAAAGTCGTGAAATCTTGTCATTGGAACAACATGAATGAACCTAGGGGGTACTATGCTGAGTAAAATAAGTCACACCGAGAGAGACAAATACCGTATGATTTCACTGACGTGTGGAGTCTAAAAGACAAATGAACAAACACAACAGAAACAGACTCCTAGATGTAGAGAACACTTTGATGGGGGAGGTTGGAGGAATGGGTGCCAAAGGGAAAGAGATTAAGAGATACAAACTTCCAGTTATAAAAACAGTCACGAGGATGCATATAGTACAGCACAAAGAACATCATCAATAATATTGTAATAACGATGGTGTCACATGGGTACCAGACTTATTAGGGTGATCATTTTGTAAGTTATGTGTCTGATCACAACGAACACCTGAAACTAATACACAGGGTGGGCAAGAGTGGGCTCACAGCTGTTCGTATGGAAAACAATGCAATAATTAATAAATAATAGCAAGAATAAACTATGGCTATTCTTGTACTCGCAACTGTAAACCTACTTTTGCCCCACCCTGTATTGTCTGTTAAGTACCACTGAAAAATTCCAAAGATTATTAATAAAAAATAAAAAGGGAACCATGTATTTTCTATCCATTCTCAACAGCTTGCAAGGTTGTTTTGGTTGCAACACCGCAGAATCACCTCCTCAGATTCAGGTCTGTGTACCTGATGCGCTAGTTGGTCAAAACAGAGACACGGGTGCTCAGAGACAGAGAAAGTTTGATTGGATTCGGCTGAGATGAGACAGGGGGGAGAGCAGGGCCTCCCAAATCTGTCTCTCTCAAAAAGCAACAGTAGGAAGTTTGCCTGTGGCTACATAGTAAGACAGGGGAAGTCCCCAGGACCTGAGAGAGAAGCCTGTATTTCTTTAGTCACGGATCACTCTTGAGGAAAGCTCCTTCTGGCTCCGGAGTATCTCCTCCTGCGTGCCAAAGGAACAGCACAACGATCAGCATCACAAAAGTCCATTGTGAGAACAAGGCCTGCTGGGCTGAAGAACCAAGGTTCTGCAAAATATCTCCTAAGTGTCAATAATGTTATCTTTAAAGCAAAAAGCAGAAACCAGACATCCTGTGACCATCACTATGAAGTTACCGCTTTGTGCTTAAGTAGCTCTATTTTTCTAGTATCTCAAGCAAAGTGTATTTTTAGACATTTCTCCTGGAACTTGATTCGCAGAACATGACTTCAGAACACGACCAACATGGTTTCTCACTCTGTGACCACAAGCTACGTGACGCCCAAATCAATGGAAACATTTTAGTTCAAGCCTGTACCTCTAGTCTAATTCAGAATTGAATCATTTAATTCTAGCTGCCAAAAATACTAGGGTCATTAAAATCACTCAGTTGGAAGAAAATTTCGGTTCAGTGATTTGCATTTTAAATTAGTCATTTCAGTGCTTTCACAGAATAAAAACATTATTTTGAGTAGATAAACACTATCTTCAGGCCGAGTCCCAGTGGACCCACAGGTCTGCAGGTTCCGGCCACAGGCTAGGTCACTGCGGCCAGATGGCCTGGGCCACCGCACGGGTTCCGGCAGGTGATCCGTCTTCCTCGCAGCATTCGTGTTACAATGTCAGTGCCACAGGGGTCATTCACCCCGCAGTCCTCTCAGCAGGGCCCAGTGCAAAGGAAAATAGGGGGCCTCTTGTTCAAACACAGCAACCAAGGCAGCACAGTAACAAATTAAACCAAGGAGAGAATTAACCAAGCACAGGTCCTTCTGGGCGAGGAACCCTGTTCTGCTGCACAGGCTGCCGCCCATGAAACTAGCCCTGGCTTTCAGATATTATCTACGATCTGTCAATGTAGCTGTTGATTTTTTTTTAAAGCTTTTTTGCAATTGGGTTAATTTTCTCAACAGGCAAAGTACACTCACAGTTCAATCACACAAAAGGTCAAGGGAAGATTTGTTGTAAGCCATCAACGAGCAACTATTACTGAGTTCAGCCAACTTTCATTGAGAGAAGGGAAAAAGAGAACACTGGTGGAGCCGCTTGCTATGTGCCTGGAGATTTAAAAATGGTCCTTGATTAACTCCAGGTTACCAAGGGGATGAGCTGGCAAGATTTTGAGGTTGGGCGGAAGGAGACGAAATTACGTCCTGGTTTCCAAATAACTTCAGAGCTACGTGGAAATCTTGTCCACCAGTTACACTGGACCGGAGCTGAGGTCTATTCAAGCCTAGGCTTTTTCCTGCTGCCTCGGGTTAGAGGGTGGACCTGGCCAGCCGCAGGAGCCAGGTAAGAGTGGGAACGCGGGGGCGGAGCCCTCGGGGCGGAGCCGCGGGCGGGCGGGGACGAGGATAGGCGGGTGTCAGAGGGGGCGGGGCGGGGGCCGCGGACCAACGGAGGCCGGGATAGGCGGGCGTCAGAGGGGGCGGGGCGGGGCCCTGGCGGCCATGTTGGGGCCCCGCCTTCCGCTTCCGACTGCCTGTTCTGTTACTTTTACTGGCGCCGCGGGAGGTAAGACTGGGTCCGTGCAGAGGCCCGAGGTCCTGCGCGCACCTGGGTCTCGGGCTGCACGCGGGCTCCGCGGGGCCTGGGCGGGGCGGGCGCCGCGGCCGCCGGCGAGTCCTGCAGGCGCGAGCGCGGAGTCTGCAGGAGGCCGAGAGCATGGGGCATTGGGCGGAGACTGTGTCCCGAATTCCTATCAGTTCCCCGGGATTCCTAGAGTGTGTTTACTCGGGGCGCTCGGGCGTGCCGTACCCGAGAGGCAGCTGTTGGTTTGTCAGGTGTCCGCTGCATGTGCACAGATTTTCCCAAAATGTGCACCCAGTGTATTGAGCAAACGGGCCCCAAAGCCTGTCACTGGTCGCCCCAGGCGCCCGGTTCCGGCAGAGGGGCGGCCACCCGGGCTGCGCCCGCGTCTGGGACCCCTCAGGACTGGGCGTGTTGCCGGTGCGGTGGGAGTCCTGCAGGGGCCTGGGGGACTCTCCCGATGGCTTCGCCCAGGTGGCGTGAGCAGACTTTGTCGGAGGTCATTTGTGGATCCGGGAATAACACTAGCTGACATTTGTGGGCATATCAGAGTCAGCGGTGCTTTCTAAGCAGTATTTTAATTAACTCATTTAGTCTCGGAAACAACACTATCAAATCCATGGAAGTGTGCAAGATTACATGGATTGCCCAAAGTCACTAGAGTACGTGGTGAAGCCAGAATTGGAACCTGGAGGGGTCGGCCCAGCACCTGCTCTAAAAACGTTGCACCGTGGCCTCGAGCAAGGCCACCCAGTGGAAGCTTCCAGACGATACTAGAAATCTACACAGTGGACTTCAACTAACGTAGAATAGAAAGTGCGGCCAGAAAAATAGTGTGGGACCATGGAAGGCAAGTTTAAGAGCCCAGTGAGGGTGTTTGGGGTCCATGGGTGCCATGTCTTCCCCCAGGATAAATGAAACACTCACATATGGGCAAGCAGGCTGAGTTTTTATGAAGGAAGAGAGACTGCTTTGTACACAGTTCAAGTGGGACGGAAGTGTGTATGGAGGTGGCCAAGCATTTCCCATCTGACGGTTACTGTGGACAACAAGCCAACCACGTTTTTTAAATTGACAGAATATACTTAACACTGCCAGGCACTTAACAATGGTTAAGACCGTGAATTTTATGCTATGATTTTTAATCAGTTTTAAAAGACAGAGTGGCTAACAATCCCCTCTTGGCCGTGTTAAGCCTGAAAATGGGACACATTTGTATCCATTAACCAGGCTGCCACGCGGGGTTGATTTTGGGGGGACACACGAGAGGGAAACAGATGAGGAGGCTGAGTTTTCATTTCTCGTGTTTACTTAGGATGGTGACAGTAGGAAGGCAAAGAAGGGGTAACTTCAAGACGTTTTAAACAGGTTGGGCAAGACAAGCATGGATACAAAGAAAGACCAAGAACGGAAAGAAAAAAATGGTTTGAGGGTAGGAGATAAGCTTAATGTTAGATATGCCAAGTTTTACCAGCCACCTGCACATCTTAGAAGGATCCATCCAGAAATTCAAATTCTGGCACTAATGCTTGAGAACCATTGGATCTAGATAAGCAGCTTTCGATTCTTCCACCCACAAGGTGTGGTTGACACTTGGGGAACTGGAGTTAGGGAGAAGAGAAGGAGGGAGTTAGGGAGAAGAGAAGGAGCAGAAGAGAAAAACCCAGATCCTGGGTGTTCGCCGAGGAGAGGGTCTGGACAAGGATGTGACCGCCAGCAGTGCCGTCATCCAGTGATGCTGGGGCGACCTGGGTAGGCTGAGGAGAGCCGTGGAGGGGGGCGCTGAGCAGAAAGAAAATGGGTGCACATCAGGGAGTGTGAGAACGGGAGCAAGACACACGAGATGTGTGGACCACTGACGAGTCCCGTGGGAAGAAGGAAGGGATGGGTGCAGATGCAAAGAGCGGATTTCTGGAGGCGGGTGACGTTTAGTTTCAACAAGTAGCAGGAAGGACAGTAAGATTGGACAGTGTGGCCTTCTAGGGAAGTGTGTGCTTTGTGGACAAGGACCACTTTCCCTAGTTTTTACCTGATGGCTTGGCGCGCACAGTGGGTGCGCTGAGAGAACCCGTGTTCTCTGAAGAAGACTGTCGTTCATCTCCTTGACTGTCCAGGAAAATCGGGTCACTCCCGCTGGCACTGTGACATTGTTTTTGTTTTGGGTTTTTCTTAGGAAGGAGTTTGTTTTGGTTTTTGTTATTCTGCCCTACTCTGTCACTCCATTTCTCCCACAAACTCTGTTCTAAAACTTAAATGCGACATCGGTAAGACAGATGACACCGCGTACGTACGGTGTAAGTGGCCGTTTATTTACTTGTTGGTCTGTCTGCGTCGGTCACCGGAGCATCAGTCCTTAGCCCGGTCGGCTTCCCAGCGGGTCATCCTTTCTAGCCGGTCCGCACAGTCGGCCTCACTCCTGTCTCTCCTCCCGTTTTCCTCCCGACGTCACAAGTCTGGCCTGCAGCTCTCGGCCAGGCACATCTCGGCGTTTTAACCTTCCTCTCCTTTTCTGGTCCTCCGTCCTGTTTTCTTCACCCTCGGGAGTGGACTACATCTCCTACTTCCAAATGATACTTTAAGGCTTTTTTAAAATAAGTTTATTTAAAAGGAAAAGAAGATAAACTTTGTTCATGGGCATCTCATTACGGCCCAAGTCGTAGACTAGACACCAGGCAAAGCAGGTGTCCGGGTAACAGCGTGAATGGCCGAGGGGAGGGGGAGGGGGCGGAGCTGTCGTGTCAGCCAGGTCTTTCACACTGTGGGATCCGGGGTGGCAGTCACCAACCTCAGGAGAAGCAAGAGTCCTCTCTGTTGGGATGATTCATCTGTCGTACGTGGTTGTGTAACCTTTGCTGTGAAAGGTAGGTCCCGTTTATAAACCAGTTGGTGTTTTTTTTCCAGGACCATCTACCCTTTGGTGCGGACAGAAGAGCGAGGAGCAGTTGGGCAGGTGCGTTTACGTTTTATTTCTTGTGTGTTACCTGGAAAGTTGAATGAGAAATCTAATAACGTGTTTTCAGACATTTTGCTCATAAAAAATTTAGTGGAAAATGTAAATCGCCTAGTGTACCACGTCATAAATCAGAGTGTAGCGCATCTAGTTCTTAGCTTATGTCCTGTTTCTTCCTGGGCTTCTCTTTTTTCTTGATTTGTAACTGAGGGTAGTTTCTAAAATAGGCGGTTAGAGAAAAAAAACTTTAAAGCTTTTGTTTTATTTTAATCTACTTTATCTATTTATCTGCTTTAATCTGTTTTATTTTAAATTTTTAAAAAGCAATATTTTATTGTATATATGTACCATAGCTGTTTTATCTACTCATCTGCCTATGGACACTTGGGCTGCTTCCAGATTTGGCTAGTGTAATGATGCTGCAGTGATCATGGGGTGCACAGATTCTTCCAAATTAGCGTTTCAGGTTTACACAGTGGAATCTAACTCAGCTGTAATAAAGAAGACAATTTCACCCAGTTTGACAGCATGGGTGGACCTGGGGAGCATTGCGCTCAGTGAAGTAAGCCCATCAGAGACAGACAAGTGCCCTATGACTCCCCATATGGGTGGAATCTAATGAACAGAGTAAACTAACAAACAAAACAGAGACAGACTCACAAATGGGGAGCAGGCTGACAGCTCTGGGGGTGGGGGAGGGTCGTTGGGGGGGGGGTGCAGGGGTGGAGCCAAAAAGAAAAGAACTCACAGACACGGACAACAGTGTGGTGACTGCCGGGGGGCGGGGGGGGCGGGGGGGGGGGTGGCAGGCGGTGGAGGTGGAACAGGGTATAGGGTGATAGATGGTAATGAAAAAATACAATAAAAAATGAACTATTAAAAGATAATATAAAAAACCCCCAGCATTTTAACTTTGTTTTCTCTGATTTTGAGTTTAAATAAAGAACAGAGGAAGTAGACTAGTTGTACTTCACTAAAATGAACCACAAAGCATAGGGTGATAAAGGACAAGCTAATGTTTAAAACTTTCACATAAGAGGCGGTAGGAAGTGAAAAGGTTAGTTATTCATTATTTCAACAACCAATCCGTAGGTGCTTCTTGGGCACGAGAGACAGCCTCGGTGCCCAGGGTGCTGGGCAAAGACAAACCGCCCCTGCCAGGTGCAAGAAAATAGGGTTTCCTCGTGGACTGATTCAGCAAATCGGTGCTATTCCTGGGTCACGCGGGTCTATGTTAAAGTTAGGCATCTGCTCATTATGTAAGGTAGGACCGTGGACAAGAAGAGCGAAAGCTAATATTCAATAATTAATAACATCCAGTGAGCAGTTTATTGTTGAAGAATTTGTCTTTTACACATTAGAAGCATACATTTGCGAATAGAAGGTGATTGCCCTGTGTGTAATTATGGTACCTTAACCCTACAAACTAAGTCAGTCTTAGAGTGCCGAAAAAAAACGTATTGAAGGACCTTCCCCGGAGGCAGGAGAGCTCAGCCACGGAGAGCAGGCGGGGGCCACGCTTTCTGGGTCAAATCCCAGCTTTCCGATGCAAATCTAAGTATTTGGATCTATGGAGCAGATTACTTCAAGGCAGGAATGAAACTGGCCTTACTGAGAATTTTGCAAAGACATTTCTACAATTAGCTTTTAAAGGTTATTGTTACACACCGTTGAGGAGTAACCCCAATACCGCGACTGGCCAGCACACAGAACCGTGCACTGAGGAGCCGGCGGCCAGAGTGGGCCCTGCGCCTGTGGAGGGGGCAGAGGGGGCCCTCCCCTGGGAGCTCCCGGTCAGAACCCGTCTGGTTCCTCCTTGCTCCATAAGCCCCCGCGATACAGATGGTTTTCGAGTGTTTTCATAACTAAAAAATTGATGTGTGGTATTTTAACATTTAAGTTTAAAATTATTTATGAACACTGAAAAGCTTTGTGGGACAGCAAAGAATTCCCAAACTTCAAAATTCCCCGATGACGGGCTGCACTTCTCATTCACTTGGAACAGCTTCACCTCTTCCGAGGTGGTTCAAGGGGAAAAGGATGGTCTAAAAGTTGGGCTTCCCTCTCCCAGAAAAACTCTCATGAGATGAGTACTTTGATGTGGTTTAACACACAGAAGAGTGGCCGTCACACTGTGAGTGTTCAGTAAGTGTTATCTGCTGCTGTTGTTATCAACACCATTATGGTTACATCACTTTCCTCCTGTGTTAAAATCAACCATAATCAGTCACACTGATTCTTTGACTCCTTTGTTACACTGATCAGGTAAGCTATTAACAATTTTTAATCTTCTACACTAAAGTAGTCAAAGGTATAAGGGGGGCAAATGGTAATGGAAAAAAAGAATAAAAATAATGTAAAAAAAGTCAATTATTAACTTATTTATACTCTGCCTCTTTCTAAAAAGAATTGGAGGCAGTCCACACACACACACACACACACACAGCTTGTTAATGAATTGGTAATGACATACCAAAGTATACAGATTTTTTAAAGTGGTAACAAATGAAACTGTTTGAAAGTTGAGTCAGTTTCTTAATATTTTCTATTAGAGAAAATTAGCATGTGAAGAAGAAGCCCAAGTGAAAAACTTGTTGTATGTTTGGGTAGCTTATCTGAAAACAGGTTTCTTTCAAATTTTTCAGGAACGAATTCTCTAGAAATTAATGACCTTAATCTTCCCTAATAGGGAGAGAATGGCATTGAAACAGATTTCCAGCAACAAGTGCTTTGGGGGATTCCAGAAAGTTTTTGAACATGACAGGTAACTACTAAGATACAGTTTAAGTATTTCTTATTCCCTTCCATCTGTTTGATTCTGTAAGACCATGAAAGGTTATTATTGCATGAATTACTGTTTACATGGAAATATATTTTTAATCAAAATTATCTAGCCTTGATATTAATGATTTTAATAAAATGCTAGTGATAAAGAGCAAATGAAGAATGTGGCACATTCCAGTGCCGTGAGCAAACACGTAATTTAAGATCTTTACCATTTAGTTTCAATAAAATGTTATACTTTTTTTTTTTTGGAAACAGAAACAGTTTTTCTTTTAATAATATGAGTGCTACACTGAGGAAGTTACAATTTTTTAAAAATTTACTCTGGCCAAAATGACAGTTTCATGCTCAGTACAGGCTCCGGTTGGTTAATAGGGAGCTCTGCTGAGCTGAAGAATTACCCCATTCTGTAAGGGCCAAGGTAAAAGGTCTGTCCAGACGGTATTCAACCACATACTGTGAAAAATAAAGACATTTATTGAAGATGATACCAGATACAAGAAACATCGTACACAGGACAGTGACACCTCAGTCCCCTTCAAAGTAGGCACTTGGGACCTCACACAGTTCTCCCAGCCGCCATCAGCTGCCCTGTCGTATTTTCCTGAATCTCATCGATGGTCAGAAAACTCTTCCCTTTCAAAGGTGATTTTAGTTTGGGGAAAAGCCAGAAGTCACAGGGCGTCAAATCTGGGCTGTAGGGAGGCTGAGTCACCTGAGTGATTTGCTGTTTTGCCAAAAAAAACTCTGCCCGAGATGTGATGCATGAGCGGGCATGTTGTCTTAATGAAGCTGCCAGTCACCAGCTGCCCATAGCTGCGGCCTTCTGAATCATCCGGGTAGTTTCCATGGAGGAATGTTCAAGCTGGATGCAAAATCTGATGCAGATTCATTGCTCTGCTCGCTCAGTCATTTTGAATGTGACAGTCTCACAGTGCACGTGCTCACTCATCAATGTCTGGCGCCCCCACAGACCAGTACAGTGAAGTCCTCACTGTTCACACACGGACCCTCCAGTCCGCCCTCCTTGGCTGCCAGGTTACACCGATGCCGTATGAACCATTCTCCCTAAATTAACAATGGCTGGACTTTTCCCAGACAGACCCCCGCATATTCCTTAAACGTTGGTGGAGCCACTTACTTGGGGCATTAAATCACTTCCATTATGTCTCTGTCCTGACTAATGAGGCGCCTTGACTTGGTGTGACTGTTACCATTACAGTGTGGAACTGAGCTGCAAAATGAAGTTCGCGATCTACCTGCCGCCCAAGGCGGACACCGGGAAGTGCCCCGCGCTCTACTGGCTGTCTGGTGAGTGCCCGCCTGCGTGTGCCACACGGGGGCGGGGCTCCTCCTCCTCCTCCCTGCCCGGCTCACGCATGTGTGTCGGGCCCCCTGAGTGTGCGTTCTGAGCCCTGCATCAGGGCACGGGGGCCTGGCACAGTCTGCGCTTGCTGTGTCTCGGGGGCCCTCTCAGGCCCCCTGCACTACCTGCGCTTTACTGCTTTGTTTCGGTTTGATTTTGTGTTTATGGTCCCTAAATGTCACCCGTTAAAACCTCTAGGGAGAGGAAGGCCAAGAGCACCGGGGCACGGCTCTCCTCAGGCAGCATCTCCCCCAGGAAACGCCTCCCCACCCCCCACCCCCCGCCCCGAGTCACCAGTCTCCTTACGGAAAGGGACAGGTTAAATTTCATATGATCCAAGAACAGCAGGACTGGGAATCAGGACTAGAAGTCTGTAGATTTCGTACAGTAATGCTTTATACACATATCGTCACCCCCACAAATATCCTACTAAATATAAAATCATGTTTTAAAAAAAATTACTATTTTTAAATCGAATCTATGGGGTGACATCGGTTCATAAGATTAGATGGGCTTCAAGTAACTGTGTCATCTGTGTATTGCGTTTGTGCCCCCCCCACCCCCACCCGAAGTGCTTCACCTCTTTCCAGTTAGACCCAGTAACTTAGCAGGGAGTGGAAAGTCCTGGACTCCATGGCGAGAGCGTAGGAAAGTTATTTGCCTGGCTCGTACCTGCCCGAGCATTTCTTCCAGAGACTGCACCACTCTCATAGAACAGTATCAGGTAAAACCTGGGTGTTCATTAGCGATCTTCTCCATGCTTGCGAGAGTAATCCTGCCAGTACAGTCACCTTCGTTTCTGTGAGTCTCCAGGTCACTCCCTACTACTGTGATCGAGACATGGGTGTTATAACTAGAAAACAAATCTTTTCCTCCGGTCTCTAAGCAGAGTACATTTCCCAAGTGCCAGGCACCGTGTCGCAGACACAGTTCAGAACTCTCTCCGTGTTATCACAGTTAATCCTCACACCGCCATGGGAGGTAAAAATAGACAATGTTAGACCCATTTTTCAAGTGAAGGAGCTGAGGCCCAGAACAGTGGAGCTACGTGCCTGCGTTTGTTTAGCCAGGAAGTGGCAGAGGGACGTGTGGCACCAGATCCCGTCCGGAACCCGAAGCCCGTGGTTTCTGCACTACCGTCCTGCCTCCTTGAACCCGTCCGTGTCGTCAGTCCTGGCGGCAGTTCTCCACCGGGACGTGGCTCTCAGGTCTCTGGGGGCACTGCAGAGGAGCGTGGTGGCCAGACCAGGGCCTTGTTCTCCTCCCATGCCTAGTGGGAGTCTGTGTGTGTGCCCACGGTTTACTGCTCCGTGAACTCCCAGAACACTGCGTCCAATGAGGCTCGTAACTTCGCGTCTTGTATTCATTAACTTATCAAATCTCTGCTGGGCAGTCATTTCCGAAGCCTCTGCTGGCTGGTAGGGGAGAGAGAGAAACCTGAAAGTGTTCCGTAGGTAATTCCTACTGCATCGGGCACACCAGCAAGCTTTGGCAGGTAGCACTGCTAGTTAATGAGCAGGGCACTGGGCATCTCCCTGGAGAAGGGCGGTCGGGTGAGGTGCTGCTCAGCTCAGTGTCTGGGGCCAGCTCGTTCTCGGCCATCCTCACACCGTTCTAGCGTTAGACTCCCGTAACAAGAGAAGTAGTGCGTGTCACCTACCACACAACTAAAAACCACAGGAGCAGGAAAAATGGCAGAAACAGTCATAAAAACCGGGGCTAAAACTTGGTTTCTCCATGTAAGGAAGGAATATGGTGGCCACTGCTCTCTTCTTAGTACGTTGAGGAATACAGAGATGGTGAGGCTGCATTTTATTGCTATGACCTACTTGTATATAAAAATATTCACTCATGTTAAGATGATCACAGTATTTTCTCAGTGTGAATATTTAGGTTTTGATGTAGGAACAGGAACGTGTTTAATTAGCAGGTGTGACAACATTGCCCTCCCTGGGGCTGTTGCGGCGTGTGGTTTAGGCACCACGTGGGTATTCTGCAGTTTGGGAAAGTCTGACCCCCCAGGTTCATCTGGTCCTGAGGGTGGCGGGAACCGAGTCTTCAGCGAGCGACTTTCAAAGCACGGCTCTGGGAGCGAGCACTTCACCCAAGACAGGTCTCAGGCTAACCCTGTTAAAAGCTGTATGAGAAGGGGAACTTGAACGTCTTCTTCAGGATTGTTTCTTTAAAAAAAAAAAAAAGCTTTGTGACAACACCAAGTGAGATGGTATTATCCTGAGCTCATATTTTTGATCTTCAGGTTTAACGTGCACAGAACAGAATTTCATATCGAAGTCCGGCTTCCACCAGGCTGCCTCTGAACACGGACTTGTGGTCGTCGCTCCGGACACCAGCCCCCGTAAGTGTCCTCGCCCCGGGGTCCTCTGTTGAGACCCAGGCCTCAGGGGGACAGTGCGGACACTGTGGCGTCCTTCCATGCTCTCGCTGTCCCTCTGTCAGTCTTTCAAATGGCGTCGTGACACAACCAGCTGCTTACACGCTTTCCCTGCGACTGGTGAGCCGTCTTGCCACCAGACGGTTGCGTTTCCTCATCGCCGCTAGTCGTCAAATAATCATATGGTTTAAAAGGTGGTAGCTTCGCTGTAAACGGTTAGAACGTTTATATTAGAGAACATTGAACTTCGGGCAGCTTGAACCCATCAGGTCGGCAAAACTTGTTTTGTGACCCTAGGAGTCTCAGGAAATGAAATTTACATGCCAGCTGAAACTTATCTAGGAATAAACTTTTAAAATACGAAGATGTAGTTTTTAAAAGGATAGAATTTGCTGAAGATCGTGCATGAACCCTTCAGTTAGATGGCCAAACGTGGTGTTCCTGCACGGGGCGGCTGAGAGTCATGCAGAGGTCACGTCCCTCAGATTGCCCCGCCTGTTCCTGTCTCTCTCTTCGGCGTGGCCATGGCTGGCTGTTCAACCACATGCAAGACGTTCGACAAAACCTAAAGGACTGGAAAGGAGCACAAGATGACCCCAGTGCGGGGTGGGCGGGTATGGGAAACACGGCGTGAGGGTTCCTAAGTCCCAGAGGAGCCCCGCCCCGCCCGTGGCCAGGACCTGAGCACAAGCGTTTTGTCCCCGGCTCCTTCTGAGACCACTGCGGTGAACAGATTACGGACGTGTGGGCACTGGGGGAGGGGGTCATCGGAGAAGGGACCTGGACGCGGTTCTGACGGGTGGGAAGAGGACAGAGCCCCTGTGCGGGGTGAGACGGAGAGGGCAAGCGCGGTCTGGGCGCACCGCGGGGCCGCAGCAGCCGGAGAACGGGCGGCCGCCCTGGCAGTGAGCGCCCCGCGGAAGGGCCGGCTCGCACCGCCTCGGCTGGAACGTGGCCCCACTCGGGGGGCCAGGAAGTGTGTGCCCCCAGAGGCAGAGGAGAGAGCCCACGATATCTGGCGAATGGCGTTAACGCAGATGGACTGTCCGGTTCGTTTAAATGTGTGTGATGAACCGGGCCACTCTGCAGAGGGCGGGAACCGCAGGGCTATCCCTTCGTGTTCGCAGGCGGCTGCAACATCAAAGGAGAGGAGGACAGCTGGGACTTCGGCACCGGGGCGGGGTTCTACGTGGACGCCACCGAGGAGCCTTGGAAGACGAACTACCGGATGTACGCCTATGTGACGCAGGAGGTGACTCCGCTTGTGTCGTGATTGCCCAGGGGTGACTGCCAGAAAGAACCTCGGTTTGGGGCAAAAAGTCCTTCTAGTGCTGAGAATTCTTTCTAAGATTATTTATTTGTTTATTTTCAGACAGAGAGAGAAGGGAGGGAGAAAGAGAGGGAGAGAAACATCAATGTGTGGTTGCCCCTCACATGCCCCCTACTGGGGAATTTGGCCTGCAACCCAGACATGTGCCCTGACTGGGAATTGAACCGGCGACCCTTTGTGTCGCAGTCCAGTGCTCAATCCACTGAGCCACACCAGGCTGGGCAAGCCCTGAGAATTTTTAACTAGAATATGGTACAGATTTACTCATTAGTGAAAATCCCAGAGTTTACCACTACTGGCATTTAAATGAACACTAAATACAATTTTTTAAAAAACTTCAGTTCATGCCATTGTAAGACTGATTTAGAAGTATTGATCATGGTATTATTTTGCATAACTGAAAAAGTCTTTCTCTCATCTCTTTTGTCACGCTATTAAATTTCTTTTAGCTTCCCCAACTCATCAACGCCAACTTTCCAGTGGACCCCCAAAGGATGTCTGTTTTCGGCCACTCCATGGGAGGCCACGGGGCCCTGATTTGTGCTTTGAAGAACCCTGGGAAATACCGAGTAAGGTCACCGGTGCTCCTAGGGGCCAATGTCTCCCCTGGGTAATATAATACTGGGAATTTTGAAGATTGGAATTACGGTTTATCGTGGTGTTGAGACTGATCTTGTCTAGAAGTGTGGAGAATGGCAAGAGGCTGTGGGGGAGGGGAGGGGCGTGAAGTCCGACCACACAGCGTGTGCCTGCCACAGGGTCAGAAGCGTAATAAGCGTTCAGTCACAGCAGCTTCTTGTCAGTCTTCCTGTTAGTCAGGGGTTATTTTTTTTACTTTTTAAAAAAAAGATTTTATTTATTTTTTTAGAGAGAGGGGGAGGGAGGGAGGGAGGGAGAGAAACTTCCATATTCAAGAGAAACAGGAATTGCTTGACGCTCACAGCGCCCCAGCTGGGACTGAACCTAAACCCAGGCATGTGCCCTGACCAGGAATCGAACTGGCGACCTTTCGGTTCACAGAATGACCAGCACACTGAGCCACACCAGTCAGGGCTACTACACGTATTAAAAAAAATTGCATCTTATATGTCATTGCTTCAATTCAAACTATAGTTTTCTAGGCATTTTTTTCCCTAAAGGTTATTCTTGATTAATGTTATGGTGGCAATATCTATCATGCACTTATATTTTTACCAGGAGAAGATATCCATGATTTATACAAGTTTAAGAATTGTGTTTCTCATGCCTCTGATGAAAACTGGAGTGCAGCTTGATTGGAAAATATTTCTTTCCGCCTTCCTGTTCATTCGTTGGAAGCTTTGCTCTCTTGCTGTTTGCTTGCATGAGCTGGTGGGAATCACCCACAGGGACAGTGTCACCTGCGCAGCACGCAGGGGGCAGAAGGGGGGCCGAAGCGGCGGCCCATCGTCCTCTGCGTGCTCCTGTCTCTGGACCCGCAGGGCGGCCGGTCAGAGGCCTGGAGATCTGTCTAATCCATTGTCTTCGCTTAGAAAGAACTTCTCGTCATTTGAGGGGCACTTCTGGGAAATGGAAATATTTCTCGTAGCAGTTTCTTTCTGTGGCAGCAGCGTTTCCATTTGATAAGCTTTATTATGAAGTTGAATTATTTGATGGCATAACTGGGTTTTGAAAATAAGGGCTTTAGTGTGTGTGTGTGTGTGTGTGGCAATCACATTTATTGTGTCTGAGAGAGACAGTCAAATTTCACTGAATTTTTGTCCTTTAGAAAAGCTAGTAGACAAAAGAACCGTACCACTGAGAAGCAGTCTGAAGCGGAGGGATTCCCTCTCTGCACTTCACCCGGGGACTTTGTTACGCCGTGGTGCTGGGGCCGGCAGCGTGGCACGGAGCACGGAACTGTATGGCGTCACAAATCCTGCCACATTCAGGGGCACTGCTCGGTGCTTTCTCGGCACAGTTCCAGAGAAATAATGTCTCAGATCCAACAACATGTGTCGGATTTAAAAAAGTAGAAATTGAATGTAAAATTCCATCCAGGCCTTATTTAATGAAAGTGTCATGTGTCACTTTGCATTATTTTAGCACCTCTAGTTTTATTAGCTCCCTGAACAGAACACACAAAACATGTGCTACGGGAAGAGCTACAGTTTAAGCTCATAATGTAGCAAAAGGAATGTTGTTCACGGTGGTTTTCAGGGCAAGTCAGAGTTTATAAGCAAGTTGCAAATGTCCATATGTGATTTAGCAACATATAACTTGTTTTTTAATTTTTTTTTCTAAAGTCTGTGTCAGCATTTGCTCCAATTTGCAATCCAGTGGCTTGTCCTTGGGGCAAAAAGGCCTTCAGCGGGTATCTGGGAGCAGACCAGAGCAAGTGGAAGGTAGGTACTGCGGGCTCTCGCCATATCCACGCGGAGTTTTCAGACGGATTCCACAGCTGCGCGCTACAGGCATCATTTCCGGCCCACTCGGGTCAAGGATCCAGGATTACAAATAATCAGCAAAAGTGTAAATGTAGAACAATAACAAAACACCTACTTCCCACTTGTCTGAATTATGGCCGGTATTCTGCAGCTACATTCTTTTCCTGGTAATGGTCAATTTATGTTGCTTCTAAATTAACATTACTTCTGTATTAACATTCCCCAAAATACCACGTATTATTACTAAATTTAGATTTGCCCTTTATTAACTAGAGCTCCATTATGTACAATAGGAGCCATGAGACCTGGCTTTTTAATGATTTTGTGTATCTTTTTCAAAATCCATCACCTCTCAAATTTGAATTTTAAATTCCAGATTGAAAAGTCTTTAAAAATAGACACTGTGCCATGCGCATTTATGAGAATATTCCCAACAGCAAGACGACTTTTCGAGCACAGACACAGAGGCTGCAGAATGAAAATAAAAATAGTGCTTTCTCCTGAGACTCGTCTTATTCCTGTGTAGAAATGAGCCGTTTGCAAATTCCACCAAGAGTCTGAGTACTTTACAAATGAACTCGTCACCTTGTGCCTGTTAACAAGTAGATAAAATTGTAACTAGCGGCAGCTTCTCAGATAATGAATTTGAGGAGTTGTTAATGTGATTCAGGCTAATAAAGTCAGGTCCTCCTGACCTTCCATGCTGCAGACAGAGGGCAGTGGGGCCGAAGGTATTTATAGCTGGAGTTAGAGCTAAAAAAAGACCGGAAAACAGACTATTTATTTGAAATAGAGAATATTGGGGAATAGAAGAAGATTAAGAAACTTGAAGAAATAGTTTGTGGAGGATTTTACAGGAAAAAAGTTATGTTTTTATTAATTATTATTATTATTATTGTTATTATTATTATTATTACTTTTGAGCTGAGAGGCACTTAAGAACCCTAAAGGTTTAAAGGAACAAAGGCCACACGCGCTTGAGAAACGGGATTCCGGCCAGTGGCCTCGCAGCACTGCCTGAAAGGAAGGGGCGGGGCCGCCGCTGGGCGAGGGTTCTGAACACCGAGTAAGAAAGATCCCGGCCAGCCAGAGTGGAAGCCAGCTGAAGAGCACGTTCCCGACGTCATCAGCCTGAGGGTTTAACTGACGTTAAATTCCGGTTGGGTTCTACCCTAGGACATTCTGAAGTACACGTTCCTGGGCACTTGTGGGCTCATCTGCAACATTTCCCTTTTTCCAGGCTTACGATGCTACCCACCTGGTGAAGTCCTACCCAGGGACTCAGCTGGACATACTGATTGACCAGGGAAAAGATGACCAGTTCCTCTCCGACGGGCAGCTGCTGCCCGACAACTTCATAGCCGCCTGTACGGACAAGAAAATCCCTGTCGTGTTCCGATTACAAGAGGTGAGTACTAGGAGACCTTAGCTTGTTCTGAAGAAGAATCAGAAAGCAAGATTCCGAGTGCTTTTTAAATTCTACTGTAGAATCTGAAATGCTGCCTCTAGTGAGACAGTTTTTAATTCATAGGAAGACACTTAAAATAGAAGCCTTTCTATTATCTTAGTGATATCTAAAACCAAATTCCATAGAAATGTGAAAGCTCTCGGTGCTGAAAAGTGGCCCTAGTTTTCTGACCCACTGCAAAAAGAGTAAATATTAGGAAGCTTAGTACTCGAGTGGCACTTAATCGCCAGCATCCCTGGGAACCCCTGTCCTTACGCATGCAGCTGTCGCAGCGGGACGGAGAGGGCGGGTGTCCGTCTCGCGTCACGCACACACCCCGGCCTCCGAAGCTGTGCGCTGTGTCTCGCACACGTGCGCTCCGCACTGTCTGAATTACATGCCAGTCTATTCGCTGTGCTGCTTGGTATTTCTGGTTGTTTAAGAATAATTAATGAATTTCAATAGAGTGTTTTGACTTCTGGCCAAGATGGAGGCGTAGGTAGACACACTGTGCCTCCTCGCACAACCCAAGGAAGGACAACAAATTTAAAAACAAAAAACAACCAGAACTGCCAGAAAATCAAACTGCATGGAAGTCTGACAACCAAGGAGTAAAGAAGAAACACTCACCCAGACTGGCAGGAGGGGCAGAGACGGGCAGCCGGGCAGAGAGGACACCCAGCAAAGCGTCAGCTGGAGGACCTGGGGTCCCACACTCTAGTGCAGATAAACCAGGAGGAACAACTGGGGAGTGAGACAGACCCACAACCCAGGGCTCCAGTGCAGGGAAATAAAGCCTCACACCTCTGACTGGAAACACCTGTAGAGGTTGAGCCAGCACGAGAAACTCCCAGCCTCACAGGAGAGTCTGTGGGAGACCCACAGGGTTGTAGAACGTACACAAACTCATCCCCCCGGAATCAGCACCAGAAGGGCCCACTTTGTTTGTACGTAGTGGGGGAAGTGACTGAAATCTGGCAGAGAGCAGAGCAAGCAGAACTGTCCCCTCTTGGCCCTTCCCCACATACAGCATCACAACACAGCCACTGGTTGCTCCTCCCTGGTGAACACCTAAGGCTCCACCCCTCACTATGTAACAGGTGTGTTGAGACAAAAAATAATGGCCCAAATGAAAAAACAGATCAAAGCTCCAGAAAAAATACAGCTAAGTGACAAAGAGATAGCCAACCTATTAGACACAGAGTTCAAAACACTGGTCATCAGGATGCTCACAGAATTGGTTGAGTATGGTCGCAAAATAGAGGAAAAAGTGAAGGCTGTGAAAAGTGAAATAAAGGAAAACATATAGGGAACCAACAGTGATGGGAAGGAAACTGGGACTCACATTAACAGTTTGGACCAGAAAGAAGAAATACACTTTCAGCCAGAACACAATGAAGAAACAAGAATTCAAAAAAATGATGAGAGGCTGAGGAACCTCCAGGACAACTTTAAATGTTCCAATATCCGAATCATAGGGGTGCCACAAGGAGAAGAGGAAGAGCAAGAAATTGGAAACTGTTTTGAAAATGTAATGAAGAACTTCCTCAATCTGGCAAATAGACTTCCAGGAAGTCCAGGAAGCTCAGAGAGTCCCAAAGAAGTTGGATGCAAGGAGGAACACACCAAGGCACATCACAATTATGTTAGCCAAGATTAAAGATAAGGGGAGAATCCTAAAAGCAGCAAGAGAAAAGGACACATTTACCTAAAAGGAGTTCCCGTAAGAGTATCAGCTGCTTTCTCCAAAGAAACCTTGCAGGTGAGAAGGGACTGGAAAGATGTATTCCAAGTCATGAAAGGAAAAGACCTACATCCAAGATTGCTCTACCCAGCAAAGCTATCATTTAGAATGGAAGGGCAGATAAAGTGCTTCTCAGATAAGGTCAAGTTAAAGGAGTTCATCATCACCAAGCCTTTATATGAAATGTTAAAGGCACTTATCCAAGAAAAAGAAGATCAAAAACTATGAACAGTAAAATTACAACAAACAACTATCAACAACTGAACCTAAAAAACAAACTAATCCAACAACTAGAACAGGAACGAATCAAAGAAATGGAGATCACACGGAGAGTTATCAGCGGGGAGTGGGAGGGAGAGAGAGGAGGGAAAAGGTACAGAGAATAAGAAGCATAAATGGTAGGGAGAAAATAGACAGGGGGAGGTTAAGAATAGTATAGGAAATGAAGAAGCCAAAGAACTTGTATGTACAATCCATGGACATGAACTAAAGGGGGGAATGTGGGTAGGAGGGGGTGTGCAGGGCAGAGGGGAATCAAGGGGGGGAATGGGACAACTGTAATAGCATAATCAATAAAATATATTTAAAAAGTTTTGCAAATTTTCCTTGACTAAAATACCCTTGACTGTTTTACTCGTCACTCACCTGCCTGACATGTCACATTTTCTCTCTGCTTCATGGTTGTTTTCAAGAGTTTATTAACTTTTTACCCAGTTTGATTCGTTGCTAAAGGATGTCCGAGTTTAATGAACCCTCCTTTTTCCTTAAACAGTGATGCGCCATGCTTTTACTGTGCAGGTGGATTTAACATGATGGATGATGACTGACTTGCCGAACAACAGTAGATCATTTACGTGTTTTCATGCTCACTGTCTATACTGTTGGTGTATGCTCATTTGGTATTTTAGCGGTACCTCTCGTACTGGTGTTTGTGCACTTCTTTTGTGCGTTGAAACTTCGTGTCCATGTTTCTAAGCTTTCTAAATTCTGATTCTCTTAGTCTATGTTGGTAGGATCGTATGTTTACCTTCCATTCAGTTGTGTCGTTTCCTCTTTGCACATAAATAGCAGCATCCGGCAAACAAGGCTTTGCAGAGTGATTTCTTTGTCTTAGTTTTGCTACTCTTTTAATTAATGTTCAGTGAAAATGTTAAACTACGGTATAAGCTTGATTCGGAGTATAAACCTCCCTCATATTGTAATATTTTGACTCTAAGCACGCTAAGGGAAATGAGAGATACATTCAATGTTTCTGAATGGCTGATACGTGTCTTCTCTGTTTCGTCTTCTAGGGCTACGACCACAGCTACTACTTCATCGCCACCTTTATTACCGATCACATCAGACACCACGCGAAATACCTGAACGCTTGAAAAACGTCCGAGAAGAGACTCTCTTGGGGATTATACGAATTGTAATAAACAGAATTGCAGGGGGAAAAAGATTTCAAAACATTGTATTTCATAATGCTGAAACGCCTCATTCTGTAGTTAAATCACCTTCTGAATAAAGACATGAAACCTGCCTCTGATGTACAGAGTTATTTGACCCCAGCGCTCACACGGGCGATCTTCACTAGTTTCCAGCTCTGCCGGGGTCGTTTGGTGGCCGTCACCGTCGTGAGTGAGGTCACAGTGCGACTGGAGCCCCCCTCAAGTCACAGGACGCTAGCTCCGGACGGAGAAGAGGACTGAAAGGTAATCGAGCGAATCTTCCCCTTCCCAGACCGGGAGCCCCCGAAGGTGCACACCGTCTCCACCGAGTCCGCGGGCCGACGTCTGGTGCCTGGCCGCCGGTCGGCATTTCGTAATCATTTGTCAGCTCTGCGTTGGAAACCTCAAGTGACTGCCCCATCCCCACACAGTTCTTCGGGGGGCAGCTAGGGTTAGAGGCCAGATTTCCTAAACCCAGATGCATCTGAAAATAGCTATAAGGAAACTGGCAAGTTTCACGTGTGTTACTGTAAACACAGCTTTTTTCCCCCTTAGTTAACACGTCCAGATTTAGCTTGTTGAGCTCACGGAGAAAAGTAACCGGGCTCTTTGCAATGCCAAGTTGTGTTCCTTGAAGAACTGAACGGACATACCTGGAACAGGACAGATGCGGTCCGGCTGCTTTAACAGAGAGAGTTTCCTGTCAAACAGCACCAGGTGTACACATTTTAAACATTCAATGGAAGATGAGATCAGGTTCTTAAAGTTATAACATTAGCACTTTTTAAGCATAAATTAGATTGTTTTAAAAATTAGTACTAAAGTATCAGCCGTCAAAACGGAGCCCAGTAGCAAGCTACACACAAAATGGTTCCAGTCTAAACAGTCTCGTGTCCTCCAGTGAGATCATTTAGTTAATTAACTAATTTTGTACACTTGGGGGTAACTCCTTTGTACAGACAAAGAGCTGTGTGGTCCTAAGACTGTTGTACTGGTCGAGGATCTAGTCACAGACACATGGCCAGTAGCAGATCTGCACAGTGAAGATTTTCTTTTTAATAGTTCAATGATGTCCCTCTCCCTGGCCCCCCCCACCCCCTCATTCAATCCTACCCACCCCCCACCCCCCGTTGTCTTTGTGCAGGGGTCCTTTCTACATGTCCCCTCACCACCCTGCCCCTTCTTTCCACTGTTGTCCCCTCCCACAACTTTTATCCCCCCGAAAGTTTTTATCTGCTTCGACAATGACCCCCTAAGACTTCTTCTTCTGTGAGTCAGTCAGAAAATGGCTGGTTTAAATTCAAAGTGTTAACGGCGGTGAAATAAGAAAAGGGAGGCTTACCTGCGCGGCGCACGTCCTGCCCACCGGGCGCGGCGTCAGCCGGCCACACGCGTTTCACTGCGTGCGGAAGGGGGCACGAGGCAATCATCTTCAAGATGACTTCGCCACACAGGGGCTGCACTGCGAAGGAAGCAAGCCGTTCCACCCAATTTAAAAGCCATTTGCGTTAGACAGACTTCAAGAAAATACTGAAAGTGAATGTCGAAAGAAAAACTTTAATTTTGAAAAAGAAATCTCGCACCACAAGGATTACAGAGCTTCATGTTGCCATATATACACGTAAAAACAACAACAACAACAACAGAAATTCCAGACCCTGCATTCTGAATGCCCGCCAAGGTGCAGCAACCACAATTCCTATTTCCGTGACCGCCCTGCGAAGGTCGCTTACACGGACCACGCTCTTGGCCCAACGCGTCTCCGCGCCATCATGCTATTGGACAACAGGTATTTGTGCAGTACAGGGGAATATTAACATACATCTTAAGTTAGGTTAAAGTGCACAGTACATTTAACAGGAAGGAACTGAAAGCTGCCAATTCGACCACTATCGTCAGTCACCCTCCCGCCCTGCCCCGCCCCGCGCGTGGCCTCGGCTGCTGTGCCACCGCGCTCACGAGGCCGAGAAAGGGGGGGCGGACTGGGGTACCCTCAACTGCGGGGCGGAGGCCCGTGCAGGGAGCTGCCCGCAAGCAGGCGGAAGTCTCGGACCCACGCGGGCGCCTTCCCTTGGCGGGCTCTCCCCGGCCCCGTGTCGTCTGAACTCGCTCCCTCCCAGACCTCGCGGCCTCGCGCGCGCCACCTGCTGCACCTTCTGCTAAGCTCACCTCGGGGTTGCGCGCAGCCGCCTCACCAGTTCACTGGCAAACTTCAAGAGTCCCCCCCCCCCCCCCACCGAGACCGTGAGCCTTGCGGGGTTTTGCGGGCTACTCTGAAAGCCACCACCTGGGTGACCCCCAATGAGCGTCCCGAAACCTTTCCCGACCCGGGATCCCGGTCTCAGAGGAGTCTCACGGGAGGACCGCTGGTTCGCTCCCAGCGGAAACGGCCCCTCACGAACTTTTTGGTTACACGAAAAACTCAGTATCCCCTCCGCGTCCCTATCCCACTTCCTCAGGATCTGCCTTTGGTGCTCGACTTCTCGCCTGACCCGAGTTACAGTGCAAAACGATACTTCAAGACACATGAAGCTACTACCACTTAGGACTCCCTTGTGTTAAAATGTGAATGTTTCGTGTATAGCAAAATAAGTATGAATCCCCAAAAATAATTGTTCACATTTTATCTTCAAGTTTAATAATGTCTCTTTTTTTTTTTCTTCTCCCCATCACAGCTATGTACAGACCCCTTCGGGTGCTCTCTGGGTTCCGGTCAGTGCGCCGTGTCGGGGGGCTACGAGGCAGGGGGATGCAGGCGCCCGGATGGAATGCAGAAATATAAATAAGACCAATTTATATAAACCCCAGCGGGGGCAACGCCCCCCGCCCCCCCCCCCAAAAAACAGTTCTGGATACAGAAGCACCTGCGTTTTGCGGAATTGTTTTGTGTTTTTTTTGAGTCACATATACCTGAAAACATGATGACTGAGACCCCGAACGGCTGCACACCCAAGAGGATAGAAAATAACTCAATATTTATAATATTAAAATAAAGTGTTTAACCACAAAAAAGCAGTAATAAAATAGTTTCCTAATTTACAATTTGCATCCAAAGGATGAATAACCATTCACTAATAAATAATATTTATATAAATATTTTGTATGTCGAAAATAGGTTTTGTTTTTTTTTTAAAAGGCAATGGTCTCAAGAAACATCTTGAAAAATTTGGTGGTGAAAAACTTGACTGAGCCCCCCACCCCCCATCCGATACACAATGAGTTTGGCTTTAGTGAGACAAGTGCGTCCTGCCGCGGAACAGTTGTGCTTGGTGTTTTGGTAATGGCCGTGGGTGAAGGCGGGAGGGCGCGGGAGGCTGTGAAAGGCCTCGCCAGGCTGTTCAGTTCTTCGTGACCAGCTGCCTCCCTGGCTCCGAGAACGATCCTGCCGCATCCTGGTGTCGGAGGTCAGCTCTGAAAGGCAGAAAGTCTTCTCTCGGGCCCTCCCTTAAATGCAGCTACAGACATGGAACTCGGGCAACGGGGGGTGGGGGCGGGGGCCGGGGGGCGGGGCCGAGAGCAGAGTTCCGGATCTCTGATATCAGGGAGGAGGGTTCGAGCAGGTCCCCAGGACGGAGCTGGTTTCATGTGAACAGCGCCTTCGCGACAGCCACGTCTAGCAGTGCTTGCACAGTGACGCCGACTTTGACCAGGCCCTTCTCCTCCAGGATGTGGTGGGGCAGACACAGTTTGTCCTAAAAGAAAGAACAGACGTCAGTTTGCAGATGCCCGCAAGTCGTCACGCCGCCCGGGCAAACGGCACCGACGGAGGCTAAGCGGAGCTCTGCCACACGTCTGCCCGGTCACCGCAGACTGTGGTCCCCCCTCCCTTTGCTTTCAGCCCATAACAAAGAGAAAATAGCAACGGTTTTACTCCAATAAGGGTGGTTCCAGAAAGGTGCTCAATCATCCCAAAATCTGCAAAAGATCTGAGCATCTTGATGTAACACCATTACACCAAGTAACTGGAGATACACACAGTCAGCTCGAAACCACACATCAATGTCACACTAGTTTGTGTTCTTTTTCTTTTTTTTAAGATTTTATTTATTTATTTTTAGAGGGGGAGGGAGAGAGGGAGAGAAACATCAATGTGTGGTTGCCTCTTGTGCGCCCCCTATGGGGGACCTGGCCCGTGCACGTGCCCTGACTGGGCATCGACCTGCAGACCCTTTTGGTTTGCAGGCCGACACTCAGTCCACTGAGCCACACCAGTCGGGGCTGGCTTGCATTCTTGTAAAGCAAAACTGCAAATAGCCTTTCACGCAGTTTACGGCAACTCAACTACTCATTTACACAGCCCACACACCGCTGCACAAGCCTGGGTTCTACTCATTGTGCTCTGCGCGGTCTCCAGAATGCAGGCGTGCTGATGGGTGGGTCTCTGGGGCCTACGAGCAGCCCGGCAAATGAGTGGTGGGCAGCAGCCCCTCTGAGTCTCTTTCACACGGCGGTGAAGGACGCAAGCGGCCTGCTACGTTCTCACGCTGCATTGTCGCTCTTGGGGAACGTCCAGCGCATGCAACTCAAGGAAAAGGATTCACGCAAGCCATTCCTTGCACAGAGGCCCCTGCATGCTCAACAAAACAGTCTGTAAAGTAACAGGATGAAGCAACTTGACACCTTTGTCGTTCGGCCCTGGGAAGGAGGGCGCCGCCTTCCAGCGCGCGTCTGCTCGGCTCGGGGAAGATGCCCCCGCCGCCGCCTCTGGTCCGCGGAGGACGGGGTGCTCCCCACGGCCCGCGGCAGCCTCTCCTCGGGGAGGGTGCACACGGGGCCCGCCCCTTCCCAGCCGGTGCACACAGTGCTGAGCGGGAACAAACCAAGGTCTCTGGACAGACGCTTCCTCTGCACGTGTCTCTCGCTTGAGAAACCAGCTCTTCCTGTTGCCTCAATGGTCGGACTCGCGATAAACGATTACAGATACAGGCCTTCCGGTCTTGAAGTCAATCTTCCAGGGACACAACTTGTTGCTCTGCCTCGCAAGGCCAGTTTTCCTACACTGTCTCAACGGACTTACTGCCCTGACCGCGGACTCCTTCTCGCACTCGCGGTGAATTCAGGGCCTCTCAGACTACCTTAAGCAGCGGCCACATGTCAGTGTAAGACAGCAGCTGGCTGTTCAGAGCTCAAGGAATCATCTTGTTGTCGGCAGCACAGCAGGCGGGCAGGCGAGTCAAGCCTCCTGGCCCGTGGAGTCCGAGTGGCCAAGTGTCAGCCTGAGGTATGAGGGAGACACCGTGCCCGGGGCCGGGGAGGGGGGCGGGCAGCGGGCTTCCTCCGGGGCCACGGCCAGAGGACAGGGCATGTCCCTTCCTGAAGCCACAGGCCGGTGCGGTCACCCGCAGCTTGCATGTCGTCGCCAACGGTGGCTCCACCGGGGCAGGGGCGTGTCTTTCCCATTCTCATGCCCCAGGTCGACATCTGGTCCGGCAGGAAACTATAAATGGCCACTGATCGAGCTCCTAGCACGAGGCACTACTTGGGGAAAAAGTAAAATCTTCACTTTATGCTAAAATCAATCTGAAATGAATTAAAGGCTTGTTTTAAAAACAGTAACTGCCTCTCTTAATATAGATGAGCATCTAGTATTTTCTCTTATAAAAATATTGGGAAGCATTTTCTAAGCTAAAAAAGCAATATAAGAAAAACCACAAGGAAAAAGATAAAGGATAAAAATGATTGCTTAAAAGTTTTAAAGCTCCCATGTGTCAAATCCTACATTAATTGAAAGAGAAAAACACATCGCTTCTTGGCCTTTTGGCTAAGATCAAGTGTAAAAGATAAAAACAATTCTAACAAAGTATTTGCATCGGATTGCAAGGGCCGCATAGGACACGTGAGCTCACTGAATCCGTCAGGAGAACAGCAAGGGACTGACAGTGCCATTGGGCGGGGAACACAAACACAAGTTCGAAAACGAGGGTTTTGCCCAGGTGTCTCCTTATGCTCCGTCCCGAATGTTCCTGAACTACTGTTGGTGCTGACGCTCCCCCTGGGCCGAGTCTGCGCACTGCCACGGCCCTCCTGGGCCCCACCCTGGCTCCTGCCTGAGAGGGCAGGTCCCACTGACGAGCGGCGGCTCCGGGGGTCCACAGAACGTCCACGCTGGCGGTCACGGCTGGGCGGACCGAGGGCTCCGTGGAGGAAGGGGCTGAGCAGGAACTGAGGCCTCAGCCTCCTGCTAACAGGACTTCGGAGACAGAGCAGACCGAGGCGGCGAGATCGCCGCCTCTCCCGGGCCTTCGTTTCTCCAGCCAGCATTTATTTCTCACCGTCCAGGTGTCCTCACACCTGAGCCAGGGGCCGAGTCCGGGGGCCTCCCACCAGTCAGCCCTTACCGCTGGCGACGCGGAGCAGACAGAAGATGGGAAAAGGTGCCCGTGCCTCCCTCACGCCTCCCTTTCCCCCAGACCCCCTGCAGGAGCCCGCAGGCGCCCCGAGGTCATGCTGACGGGGCCCCAGGTGCCTAAGAAGACCAGCGTGAGGTCACAGACACCGCGCACGGCAGGGCAGGCCTGCCACGGGAGGGGTTCCGGGAGTGAGCTGGAGACTGGGGCCGGGAGGGACTGTCATAAATGCCCCTCCCGGAGGACAGTAAGCTGGGTCCCAACCACGGATCCACCCGCACAGGGAACTACGAAGAACCAGCCGTCACACGTCTTGGACAGCCTGGCACTGGGAGGGGATGTGCCACCTGGCGAAAGAACTGGAGAAAGAGAACTTTGTCTCAAAAAGAAAACGTAAATAAATATTTGGTTCTTTTCATCAGGCATGGGATGGACAAGCTGGGGGGGGGGGAGGTTCTTTCTCATCCGAGGGGGGAGATTTGGTATGCACACACACACCCCACAGCTCCTTCCCTGACCCCCTCTCAGGTGACAAAGAGGTGGCCCAGTCCCCCCCCCCCCATCCCGGGCACACGGCGACAGCAGCAGCGCGCAGGCACGGGGGCTGGGGCACGGACAGCTGGGAGGAGCTCCACGGACGGGCTGGACACGCTGCATGGACACCACGGGCTGGACAGGGCGACACAGTCCGTTCCCAGTTTGCCCGAAGGGCCGAACTTGCTGCGTCCGGCCGACTCCGCAGTAGCACCGCCCGACGGGCCCCGAGAGCAGCAGCACGTCGGGTGCGGGCCCCCTCGTGACGTGAGGGATGGAGGGGTGTCCAAGGACACTTCAGACCCTGAACTGAAAATCAGAACGCAGCCCGGGAACAAAGGCACGTCGCCACAGAACATTAAATCCGCTCTCGGGAGACTGGTCTACTCGGTTTTTATTGGTAACATTTCCTTTCAGGGGGCCGCTCAGCGAGGCGTCCCTCTTCTCCCCCTTGCCCATGACCCCCCGCCCCCCAAAAGGAGAAACAGAAACCACCAGCGGCGACCCATTGTGGACGGGAGGCCCGAGCGCCCCGCGGGGCCGGGCGGGAGCGCGGAGCGCTGCTCTGGGTGCACGCAGACACGTGCACCGCCCACGTGCACCGCCGGGCCCAGAAACACTCGGAACGGCCGCCCAAAGTGTGTTTATTAGGCAGCTTACGGCGCGGGGGGCTCCTCAGACGTGGCACAAAGGGGCTTTACTTCGTTACAGACGGAAGGGAACAAGAGAGCACGAGGGCAGCTCAGCACATATTCACACGCGACCGGGGCGCCCTCGGGCACTTCCACAAACTCTGCATCCACCCACCGACACAGAATCGGAAGGAAGAGGCTCAGGGGACTCGAGACATCACCACGCGAAGAGTGCCTCCTGTGAGCAGCTCTCAGCTGACCTAGCAACAGAGGATCTTCGTAAAGACACTCTCCTGGATTCACGGACATGTTCGTGGAAGTAAAATCATCGTCATCGTAGCCATCTGGGGAGGCCCCTGGCATCTCAGTAAGCCAGGAATCTATCTCGAGGGCGTTAACTCCATCAGCTCCCCAGTTTAACAAACACTATTCAGCAGCAGATGCAGACTGAAAAATAGGGGAGACTGTGGTAACCTTGAGGTGGGCCTTCTCGCATTAGAAAAAGACACCCCAGAACCCGGAACGTCTTGGCCTAGATAATATTCTATTGGTTTTATCTTCTAATTACAGGCTGCTCAGATGGCCCTGCAGCAGATATACTGATAATTATATATAATCCTTTAAGCTCACTTAAAAATAAAAGCAGCCTGCTAACGAAGGTTAAATAGGAATTTCAACTCACTGGAGACACTGTACTTCCAAATAAGAGCAAACTTATTATTAGCCCCTGCCACCACAGCCCAGGCCCCGGGACCAAGAATGTTCCGTGATTCACGGCTTTATTTGAAAACAAACACAGTCCAATCCCTCCTATTCTGGACCTGCTGTGCTGATGCGGCGTAGCAAACACCAAAATGACCTATTACAGTGTTTAAAAATAGACCTCTCTTCTGGAAAGCTCTTTCCTAGGAACCTGCAGAGGCTAGCAAGGAGTAAGCAGCAAAGACAGATGGGACTCGGTGTGCAAGCAAATCCTCCAGGGGGCGCCCTAACAGAGACGGCCTCTCCCTTGCCCGGCACCCCTTCTCCCGGGCAGGCGGGCACCTCCGTCTCTTAGCAGTGGGGCACCCGGCTGGCTGAGGGCAGGGGTGGGTGGCACCCCTCCCTGGGTGCCACTGGAGGAAAAAGGGAGGAATCCCACTGAATGGCCAGCAAATCAGTCATCCTCCACATGGGGTT